ATATATATATATGCGACTCACGATTCGCCCTGCCAATCGTAAAAGTCGATGGGGCCTTGCGTGGTATCAGCCTTAAAATTTGGTACGATACTGTTAAGTCGCATTATGGCTCTGTCCTTGATGTTTAATGGAAAAAATTACTCGTGTCCACGATTATCCGTCTCGATGGAATGCTTTCCGAGCACTGATCTGGACGAGCTACATTGTCCGTACGCTTTATATACGGCGCTCAAATCGGTTCTACAACATGATGCAAACGTTACATGCAAACGTTACATCGTTATACCGGTCAGATATCGTATCTCCATATCCGATGTCGTTGTTTCGATGATGTTAGGTATTGATTCTTTGACATTGATATGAGATTGCTTGATCTTTTTTATAAGAACATAAGAAAGAGGAAGCAATATCCGTCTAAAAAATTGAAGATATTCTTAGAAAACAGATAGTAAATATAATTGCAACGATCATGTCATCGGATGATCATCATTATCATTAGAAATTGATTATCATTATCATTAGAATTTATGCAATCTTTAATCATACGAAATCAGCTTTTTTATAATATCTTTTCATCTTATTATTAGCAAGAACATTAGGCAAATTGACAGAATAGATTGTCTTTTTATTTTCTTGCAAGAAATTTTCTTGTGTAATGTATGTATGTTATGTCCAGGTTGCCGTACCTGACGTTGTAGAAGCTGCAAAAGATGCCGACATTCTCATCTTTGTGTTGCCGCATCAATTTATTCGTACGTTGTGTTCGACATTGTTGGATAACATAAAACCAACTGCAGTTGGTCTTTCTCTTGTTAAGGTATTAGATACGTGCAAAATATTTTGCAATATATCGAGTCGATTTGGAAATTCTTTTTTTTTTTTCGAATTCAAATTGAAATAAATTAATGAAATTTCTCCGAAATAAATTAAATTAAATTCGGATTAACTAAAAAATTAAATCGACGAAATATAATTTTTATTTATAAATTTATAAATGAAAATTATATTAAATTAATATTAATTATGTTAAAAATAATTATTAGAAAGTTGCATATAGCATAAATAATGAATTTATGATTTTATATAATTTTATTTAATATATGTAATTTGCATTTCCTGAATCTCCTGGATTTAAAATTTTCAAATAATTCAGATTCAACTTATAGAGATTCGGATTTCATTGAATTCGGATTGGAATTCTCCCCTGATTCGATTCGAATTTAAATAATTTGCACCTTTCTAATGTTTCAATCAGTTTTTTTCTGTGTATCTTAACTCGTTGGAATAAATTAGCACATCTGAATTGAAGGGTTTTGGCCGAGGCGAAGGAAACAGTATCGAATTAATTTCCAAAATCATCGAAAAGAATTTAAGAATACAGTGCAATGTTCTGATGGGCGCTAATCTGGCCAATGAAGTTGCCGAGGAAAAATTCTGTGAAACTACAATTGGTAAGTAACTTTGAGTTCAAGATATATAATATAAAAATATATAATTTTAATTTTCTGAATTTTTTCAAAATTTATTTTACTCAAAATCTTTTATGTCAACATACGTAAAGCTTACGAAATTCTCTAATAACCAAATTTAAAATCACAGGATGCAAAGACAAACGATTGGCACCGATTCTAAGAGATCTTATTCAGACTTCAAACTTTCGAGTAGTTGTCGTGGAAGATTGCGAGACCGTGGAAGTGTGCGGGGCTCTGAAGGCAAGTAGATTACTTTTAAGGAAATATCTTCGACAGTCAGGGACAGATTCTGCAAAGTGTCTAGAAAGTTTGCTGGCAAAAATATTACGGATTGATTTGATCTAATATATACAATATATGTTATTGGTAAAACAACGGCAGGAACAGTAAAATTTATTATCAAAATATAATAGTAGAAATCAAGTTAAAATTATCAAGTACACTTTGACGTTGCTAGTGACAGTTTAACGCAAATTGGCAAAAATAGAGCAGAATCTGCGTTTGATAGATTACGTTTGATTCCAATTGCCAATTTGCTATTAGATTACAGAAATTATAATGACAAAAGTGAATTTAATGCAGACACATTTAATGCCGATTTGCTAGCAATTTTTGAATTTACCAATCTATTAACAAATTGCACGTACAGTTTGCATACTGATATTATGACTGACTGTAAATATACGTTTATTTTTTCATCGTTATTTTTGCAATCATGATTTCCAATGATATGTACTTTTATAGTTTTTATTCAAATTTTGTTCATCATTTTATTAATCGAATGTTTTGTCACAGAACATTGTCGCGTGCGCAGCTGGTTTCGTAGACGGTCTCGGATTAGGCGACAACACGAAAGCCGCGGTGATCCGATTAGGGCTGATGGAAATGGTCAAATTTGTCGATACCTTCTATAGCGGTTCTAAGCTCTCCACATTCTTTGAGAGTTGCGGTATCGCAGATTTGATTACTACTTGTTATGGAGGACGAAATCGCAGAGTTTGCGAACAATTCGTCAAGACTGGCAAGGTGAATAATTCTGGCAGATCTTTATGGATTCATTTCATTCTTCATTTCATTCATTTCATTCTTCTTTGATTTATCTCTAAGAGATTAGACGAGTAAACGATTAAAACTAATAATTAAAACTCATTTTCATTATTTCAATTAAGAGTTGAAACTTCAGTTAATATTGAGATTGATTTAAAATTTATTGTTAAGCATTGTTGCATTAATAGCGAAATAATCTGCACGCAATCCATACAAATTGTAAAAAGCTTTTATAAAGGTTTGGAAAAATTGTTTGGATTTTTCATATCTAATATGCAACAATTTTGAAAAGATTCTATAATTTGTTATATAAAATGATACAACAAAAATATCTTTGAAACCCTTTATAGTAGTAAATTTAAAAACGTAATTGCAGGATTGCTGTTAGGAGGCATTCGTTTCTTGCATGTAAAATTTATGCTTTTTATATATTACTGAAATCTTCGGAATTAAACTATTTTAATAATTATTAATAGTTGTAATTAAATTAGTTTATTTTTTTAACTAAATTAAGCTATATGTCACATTAAAGTTAATCTTAATAAGCATTATTTATAGTAACTTGTAAAATGTTAATTAATTTTTAAAAATTATATTTTAAACAATAAAACAATTACGTAGTAAAATAAAAAAATTTGGAAAAAACTTAGAAAAACATTAAAAAATTAAAGTAATGTTTTAAAAAACTAACTGGAACTTAAAGATTAACTGATCTGAGTTAACTAAATTAAATTAAAAGTTATTAATTTCTTAATTTTATTACTTAACTTGTAATTAACTAGTTATTAGTTACTAATCTTAGAAATCGAAAACAATTCACGAGGAGCCTAAGTTACTTTAATAAATGAAGGATTCTAAGTTCAAGCTCAATCGAATTTGTTAATTTTTCCAATCTCTCACAATATATAATATATCGTTCAGACTATCAAAACGTTGGAAGATGAGCTGTTGTCTGGACAGAAGCTGCAGGGACCAGCAACGGCAGATGAGGTCCACGACATGCTGAAAGCCCGCAATCTGATGGACAAATTTCCACTGTTTACCGCGGTACATCGCATCTGTACTGATCAGCTGCGACCAGCAGATCTCATCGACCAGATTCGCAGTCATCCTGAACATGTGTAAGATTTTCATAAGATTTATAGATATTAAATTATCATTCTAGTATTTATATGAATTTTATTATCAATAGTTCATTTTAGATAAATTTTTATTTAACATAGCTTTTTAATCTCAATTAAAATAAAATACAAATTCTTTTATATAAAATAAAAAAATCTTGAAAATCAATTAGTTCCACTGCACTATTACAATTAATTAAAAAATGCTTTCCATTGAATCTATCCCTACAGATTTGCTCCAAAGACTCTTTATATGTACTGAGTTCTTCTCCTTGCTAAATTTTCAAATAGAAATTGCAATAATATCCATTCTGCACAATCCTTACTTCCTATAAACATAAATAATTATGCAAGATGTGACAAACAGGTAAGACATCATCGTGAATATAGAATTGGAATCTAAAGCAATTTTCATATATTTCAGGATGAAACTAGAGGAAGGAAATGCATAATTTATACACAGCATATATAAATTTAACACTCATTTAACATGAGTTATAGAAATATGCGATGCCAAGAAGGAATTGTCAGCAAAGACTTGTATATACTTTGATCGTTCCCTTCTGTAATTTCCTTATTGTAAATAAAGATTAATTATAAAGCCATATTTTTCTATTAAAGCCACTAAATATGTGTAGTATACTTTTTATGCTTGAACATTTATAGTATATCTTATGTAATACATTATTTGCAAATATTACAGATTTTAATTTCTAAAAATAAAACATTAGTAATTTATATAATTATAAATTATTTTTAACTAACTTCAATAATCAATTTTTATTCTTGAGAGGTCATTATTTGATATTATAAATCAGCTTATTTTTGATCTTTGCTTTCCTTGCCTGATTTTTTCTCTTTTTGATCTTTACATGGCACATTATCTACCAAGACATCTGGAGTAAGTCGCAGAGCTAAAATTAATTATAATTTATTTATTAATTAGATATACAACATAAATAAAGCAATTCATTTTTTATTATTTTCATATTAACTTAGAATTATTACCTATTCTCCCAGATGCTGTTTCAACTGCCTGTATGACATTTGTTCGTATTTCACATTCAACTTCCTGTGCGAATTTATTCAACTGAAACAATAATAATAATATGCAAATACAAGTCTTGCCATATAAGTCTTTGTAGACTTAGATACAAAATTCATTTATAAATATGAATATTTTATGTTTTAATTATATATCATTTTAATGTATATTGTCTATGTGCTTGAAATAAAAACGTACCTCTTCAATCGCCACCTGATTTGTGACATTTTTATATTTTTTGTACTCCTTGTTTATCCTATCTCTTACAACTAAAGACCACAACAGAATATTATTTATTGAAAATGCATTCGGTATATTAGGAGAGAAATACAACAAAATGTGACGTGTATATTACCTTGCAATGCATATTCATCACCTTCAAATGTCTTTAACCTTGTTCTATGGAGTTTTTTGAACACTCGCAAGATCTAAAGAAATTATCATCATGAAAAATAAATGAATGAAGAAATCAATGAAATAAGCAAAATAGTCTCACAAAGCTAAAAATATCTTGAAATATAAATTTATATATATATATATATAAATTATATTCCTCAAATATTGTTGTCTTTATAATTCTAATATATATAGTCAATAATTAACCTCTCGTCGAAAAGAGTCACCCATTTATGCAAATCCTTGCTATTGTTGCCTATTTCAACAATAGATATCTATTTTATTTATTAATAAAAAAAATGTTAATGAAAATTCGCCATTTTTTAACTTGTTCTTTCTCTTCTTCTCTTTTCTATCTGGCCGTGATTCTAATTATACCAAAAGACTTAACACTCATTCTTTTAGCAAAGTAGTTCATGGGACTGATATGAAGCAGCTGTCATACTAACATTTTCAATAATTTTAAAAACGTCATTGAATTGCTAGTCGTCTGCTGATTTTTGCGATTTAGCTTTTTATTTTATTTGCTTATTAATTATTTTAGCAAAACAAACAATAATGAGTAGTGGGGATAAAACGGCGAATGAATTTTTACTATTTATCACCATTATCCGTTTTTTATCAGTGCTCAAAGCATCGGCGTCTACATGAGGAAGTGATATCCATTTAACCACGTTCCGATTAACTACTAGCCATTCACAGGAGCATAGAATTTTTCCACTGTTCAAGCGCTGTGAGTGGCTAGTAGTCAAACGGGTGTCACGGGTGGGTCCAATCGGACACATTGCCGATTGATCGATTAAATAAAAAAATTGTTAATAGGTGGCTCAGTAGAAAATTTCTAGGCATCGGCTGATGTGAGTGGTGTGTCCGATTGAAAATGTGCGCATCTGAGACCTGGTTCACCTTACATGAGGATCCAAGCTTATGCTGGATTCAGACCAGCGCGATGACGTGACACGCGATATTCAATGAGCGTATAGCTTTTCTCGGAAATCGTTGCGAGCGCTAAATGGAACACAGTCATAGAAGTTTATAATCGATGGTTTGCGATCCTCTCAGCAGTCCGTTTGTGCATGCGGCTTGTGATATTGTGTGAAGTTGGCCGCGCATCGTGGAAACAAAGTGGATGGTAGTTCATAATCGTCATTCGTGGTTACGTTCCGGTGGCTGACAGTGCGAGTGTCAATGGTGTCAGTGCCGTCAAATTTTGTTTGATATCTGTTTAAAAACCGCTGACGGGTAATGTTATAGGCCACGTAGCGCCATTCTCGAGAAGCGCAGTGCAATGTTGTTTTTGGAAAGCCATCCGGAATAAATTTGATGCGATCATCGTTCTGTCACTTAGGTGAGTAATCTTATACCTGTGGAATTTTGCTTATTTTTATCCTATCGAATGCTTGCGTGATGTTCTCAGATTCGCAAGAGAAGATTGCGCAGTAATAGAGGCCAAAGGTAGCAAAAGATGTTGGCGGGCAGCCAGCCGCGCCATAGCCACATGTATTGCCTTTCGCTAGCTTGTTACAATGTTGACACACTGAGGAACGAGTATTGACCGAGCGTAGATCTCGAATTGCCGCGTGAGGAGTAGGGTGATGATGCAAAATAACTCCAAGACCAGAGAAATGTTTATCGTCCGAGCTTTGGAAAAGATACTAGCCGATCGAGATGTTAAGAAATCGCATCTCTCGCAACTCAGGAAGTCCTGCGAGTCTGCGCTCGGTAAGTCGAGATTTTTTTGAAGCATATACAACAGCATATACTATTTTGTACATGCAGTCTTGATAATTATTAAGCTTTTATTATCATTCATATGTTTTTACTTTTGCAGAGGATCTTCGCAATGAGATTAAAGATGTACCAACTATACAAGGGGAAGAGATGATCTCAAATGCCCTTCCACAGCCAAAGAGTGATTCTAATGTCATCACCGCTGAAAAATACTTCCTGCCGTTTGAATTAGCATGTCAGAGCAAGGCGCCACGTATTGTGGTGACAGCATTAGACTGTCTACAGAAATTAATTGCATATGGTCATCTCACTGGCAATGTGCCAGATTCGACCGAGCCTAACAAGCTGCTAATTGTGCGTATTGTTGAGACAATCTGCGGTTGCTTTACTGGTCCACAGACTGACGAGGGTGTGCAGCTACAAATTATCAAAGCGTTGCTAACTGTAATGACAAGTCAACACGTGGAGGTACATGAGGGTACAGTGTTATTGACCATCCGCACTGTTTACAATGTTTATTTAGCATCGCGCAACCTGGTAAATCAGACAACAGCCCGTGCAACTCTTACACAGATGATCAATGTTATCTTTACACGGATGGAAACTCAGGCTGAAGAGGAGAACATAAGGATTGATGGAGAGCATCAGCAGGAAGTCTCCATGAATGGCGAGACTGAATTGAATGCAGAAAACGCTCTTGGTAATGACATTATTGATTCTCAAACGATTGTCAAGAGTATCCTCAATGACGTAGTGAACTCTATTGTGCCATCGGAAGAGGAAGTTAGTCTGGAGAATGGCAGTCCAGAAGACAACGGTGACGAGGCGGCCACTGAAAATGATAACATGGTTACTGCAAAATTTACTCATGTGCTGCAAAAAGATGCATTTCTCGTGTTTCGTGCTCTCTGCAAACTCTCTATGAAGCCGCTACCAGACGGCACTCCTGATCCAAGATCGCATGAACTCCGTTCTAAGATCTTGTCGCTTCAGTTACTTCTAGGAATCCTGCAGAATGCCGGTTCAGTGCTGCGCTCCAACGAGATGTTTGTTATTGCCATTAAGCAGTACTTGTGTGTCGCATTGTCAAAAAATGGTGTGTCTTCGGTACCAGAAGTGTTTGAATTGTCATTGGCGTTATTCCTGGCACTACTCGCACGTTTCAAGATGCACCTCAAAATGCAGATCGAAGTATTTTTTAAGGAAATCTTTATGAATATCCTCGAGACTTCCAGCAGTTCCTTTGAACACAAATGGATGGTTATACATGCACTTACGAGGATCTGTGCTGATGCTCAGAGCGTTGTCGATATCTACGTCAACTACGATTGTGATCTCTCAGCAGCGAATCTTTTTGAGAGACTTGTCAACGATCTTTCTAAAATTGCTCAGGGTCGACAGGCTCTCGAGTTAGGTGCGTCACCAAATCAGGTACGTCGTAAATGGTGAGAAAGGAAGAATGAGATGATAAATATATTTAGAGATACAGAGAATGTTCTTTGAGAAAAAATAGTACATATTTTTTTAATATTATAGCAATTTGCTCTTTTAGGAGAAATCTATGCGTATCCGCGGCCTCGAATGCCTTGTATCTATTTTGAAATGCATGGTGGAATGGAGTCGAGATTTGTATGTGAATCCTAGCGTGCCAGCGGACCAACAACCATTGACAGATCCACCAGACACAGCGCCGGAAACTCCACTGCCACGTTACGGCAGTGCCGGTAGTCTTTCGTCAGCCAATTCTAGTCTGACTGGTAATAAGGAAGTGCCAGATTCACCAGAACAGTATGAAGTGCAAAAACAGCAGAAGGAGGTATGGGAGACTGGCATTGAAATTTTCAGTCGGAAACCTGGCAAAGGCGTACAGTACCTGCAGGAGCAAGGATTGCTCGGTAGTTCGCCAGAGGATGTGGCTAGGTGGCTACATTTGGACGAACGGCTCGACAAGACCGCTATTGGAGACTTTTTGGGCGATCATAATCACAATCAGGTAACGAGGAGAAAAATTATAATTATAGACAAATAGACTAGGATTAAAAGATTCTAAATAATGTACTAGATGATATATAATTCGATAATTAATTTGTTTGTAGTCATTAATTTTGTTATGCCTTTTATACAGGTAATGTACCATTACATTGACCAGATGAATTTTGCTGAACGCGATTTAGTAACCGCACTCAGGTATTTTCTGGAAGGCTTTCGGCTGCCCGGCGAAGCGCAGAAGATCGATCGCTTGATGGAAAAATTTGCTAGTCGTTATTGCGAATGTAATCCTAACAACGGTCTCTTCACAAGTGCAGATACAGCCTATGTTCTTGGCTTTTCAATCATAATGCTGACCACCGATTTGCATTCGCCACAAGTCAAAAATAAAATGACCAAAGAACAGTATATCAGGTAGATATAATAATTTTTAAAATTAATTATAATTGAAAAATTATATTTAGTTTTTTATATTTAGTGTGTCATAAAATTTATATGCATACGATGTATAGTGCAATTTTCTATGTCAGAACAGTGAATTGTTTTAATTTAAAAATTATTGCTTAAACACAATTTTATCAGAAAAGAAAATTATGTCTAACACAAGAAATCATATTGTACATTTTATATGAAATATTTGTATATAATTATTTATGTTGAGAAAGATGTGTTAATATCAAGTTAACGTATTTATGTTAATTTTGTTCTATATTCTGTTATTTTGTAATAATTAATAATACGCTCTTAGTAGTGACTTTTTATGTGAGATATATCAAGAAATATTGAAGGATCTTTTTTTTTGTCAGGCTTAATCGGCGCATCAGTGATAACGAGGATCTTCCTGAGGAATATCTTTCCAAAATTTATGACGAAATTGCCGGCAATGAAATTAAGATGAAGTCGAACCCGAATAATAGTCGGCTCGCCGGTAAACAGTTGATCTCTAGCGAGAAGAAGCGACGATTATTATGGAATATGGAAATGGAAGTAATCTCCACAGCAGCGAAGAACTTGATGGAATCTGTCAGTCACGTTCAAGCACCGTTTACCACGGCAAAACATCTGGAACATGTACGACCAATGTTCAAAATAGCTTGGACGCCATTCCTCGCGGCCTTTAGCGTTGGCCTTCAAGACTGCGATGATCCGGAAATCGCGTCGCTCTGCTTGGATGGTATCAGGTAAGAGAAGACTTTGGAATAAAAGCAAACAGATTCATCATCATTGTGTCTTTCATGTTTTATATTATTTGTATGTTATATACGACAGGTGTGCCATTCGTATCGCTTGCATTTTTCACATGAGCCTCGAGCGCGACGCCTACGTGCAAGCGTTGGCGAGATTCACTTTGTTGACGGCGAATTCGCCCATTACTGAGATGAAGGCAAAGAACATCGATACTATCAAAACTCTCATTACAGTAGCTCACACTGATGGCAATTATCTAGGTAGTTCGTGGCTTGATGTTGTCAAATGCATCTCTCAATTGGAGTTGGCGCAGCTGATCGGTACCGGAGTGCGGCCACAGTTATTGGGCCCACCATCAAAACCGCATTTTTCATCGCCATTAGCGAACTTCGGCAATCTCACACACTCTGCTAGTTCACATCAGAGTAATAATCTTAATCTGAGTTCGTTGGACCCCAGCGTGAAGGAATCGATTGGCGAAACTAGTTCACAGAGCGTTGTCGTAGCGGTTGATCGTATCTTCACTGGTTCGACGAGACTCGATGGCGATGCCATTGTCGAATTTGTCAAGGCTCTCTGTCAGGTCTTTCTTTCTTAAACTATTAGTGATTTTTATGTAATATAAATTACGTAACGTAAATATTTAGTAACGATAAGTAATAATTAGGTATCCCTCGAGGAGCTGGCACATCCTACACAACCGCGTATGTTTTCTCTTACGAAGATCGTTGAGATCTCGTATTACAACATGGGTCGTATTAGGCTGCAGTGGTCCAGAATCTGGCAAGTTCTCGGCGATCATTTCGACAGAGTAGGATGCAGTCCTCGACAGGATATTGCATTTTTTGCAGTGGATTCTTTGAGACAACTGGCCACTAAATTTATTGAAAAAGGCGAGTTTGCCAATTTTAGATTCCAGAAAGACTTTCTCAGGCCATTTGAACACATCATGAAGAAAAATAGGTAATATATATTTTAATTCTTTTAATTAATTAATCTGTCTTGATTTATTTAATGGAAATAATTATTTAATCAAATTTATATTTTAACAATTTGTATGATATAATTTTATTTAATGTGATTCAGATCGCCTGTGATTAGAGATATGGTTGTAAGATGCGTGGCGCAGATTGTTCATTCACAAGCACCCAACATTAGATCCGGTTGGAAAAACATCTTTAGTGTTTTTCATCATGCGGCCAGCGATCGTGATGAGTCTGTCGTCGAATTGGCCTTTTCTATGACCGGCAAGATTATTAGTGAGTGAGAATGCATGTCTTGGAGAATGTCACTACTTGTGTTGCTTTTTTAGCCGTCATTTAAAGTGATATATTTAAACGGATATTGATATTAATTCTGTTATTAATTCGCATATATGTCCATAGATGAGCTCTATGCAGAGGACTTTAGCATTATGGTGGATTCCTTCCAGGACGCCGTTAAATGCCTTAGTGAATTCGCATGCAACGCGTCTTTTCCGGATACTAGTATGGAGGCGATCCGGCTAATACGTTCCTGCGCATCTTATATCGATGCGAATCCCAATCTTTTTGCTGAGGGCATGATGGATGACAGCGGAATAGTTTCCGAGGAAGATCGAGCTTGGGTATCGTTATTTTATGTTTAAGCTTGTTTACACTTTATGTTTAAAGCTTGAATCATTCGATATGGTCTTTATCTTTATCCTTTTTTTTCCTTTCAGGTGAGAGGATGGTTCCCGCTATTGTTTGAATTATCTTGCGTTGTGAGTAGATGTAAGCTGGATGTCAGGACGCGCGCATTGACAGTACTCTTTGATGTCGTTAAAACCCATGGTGCATCTTTCAAACCCCATTGGTGGAAAGATCTCTTTCAAGTTCTTTTTAGGATCTTTGACAATATGAAGCTGCCTGAACAGCACACCGAGGTTCATACAATTTCTAAGATAAAATTTATCTTTAAAAAAAAGGAAATTTCCTTTAGAGATTGTACATTTAAATAAATAAATTATTAAATATTGCAGAAAGCTGAATGGATGACAACAACATGCAATCATGCATTATATGCCATCGTGGATGTGTTTTCACAGTTTTACGATATTTTGGGTCCCTTATTGCTAGAGCAGCTATATTTTCAACTTCTCTGGTGTGTTCAACAGGATAACGAACAATTGGCACGATCGGGCACCAATTGTTTGGAGAATCTAGTTATCAGCAATGGCATTAAATTTGATGAACAGACTTGGGAAAAGACTTGCCAATGCGTTCTGGACATTTTCGAGAGCACTTTACCGTCTGCGTTGCTCACATGGAAACCACATTCGCCCAAGGAATCTGATCTTGACGTGATTATCGGCGAGTCCGACGGTCTTCATGTTGGTATCCTAAAGCGAAGCAACAGCGTGCAGAGTTTGAACACCGAGACATTGCCAAAGGCGAAGCTCTTCTCCGCATTACAAATAAAATGCGTGGTCCAACTTGAATTAATACAGACTATCGACAATATCGTCTTTTATCCGGCGACATCACGTAAAGAAGATCAGGAGAATCTGGCACTTGCACAGGCTGACATGCTGAACGGCAAGTCGTCGGAGCTTGTAAAGTGAGTGTTCCATTACTGTGTCAACAGTTGATAACTTATAGTACGTGTAATGTAAATTGTTTTTAGGGCCGGCGCTGATCAGCAAAAGGAGGAACAGGGCATGTACTGCGCCCTGACGACTAACCATCTCCTGCAGTTGATAGAATGTTTGCTGCGATCGCATCGCTTCGCCAAAAGTTTCAATTCGGATCACGAACAGCGTAATGTGCTGTGGAAAGCTAGCTTTCGTGGTAATATGAAGCCAAACCTGTTGAAACAGGAAACGCAGTCGCTCGCATGCGCATTGCGTATCCTCTTTAAGATGTATAGCGACGAGGCGCACCGTGCAGATTGGTCCAAAGTCGAAACGCGTCTAATTGAGGTGGCATGCGAGGCTCTTGAGTATTTCCTGGCACTCGCCAGCGAAGCCCATCGCGACGCTTGGACTCCGATTTTGTTACTGCTACTCACACGTATCCTCAAGATGAGTGATCATCGCTTTGCAGTTCATGCCTCTAACTGCTATCCTTCTCTCTGCGAAGTTATGTGTTTTGACCTCAAGCCTGAGCTCAGATCAGTGCTGCGTAGATTCTTTCTCAGAATCGGGCCAGTCTTCAGAATCACGCAGCAGCAGTGATGGCTAGTGAATAGCAATGGACTATCAACGGGTACTTAAAATTATTTCGAATGAAATCGCTTAAATTACTGTAACGTTGGCAAGAGAGATGATATTGTATACCTGTCTCTATCCCAACAATAGGATTGTAATTAAATGTAAAGCATGATTAGATACTTTGGCTCATGTTAAATTATTCATATACGAACCAACAATTTCATATAAATTTTTATATTGTGTTGAATTAACATATTCGCATTATTTTCATTCAGTTCATCACCAATTTGTTATTACCCTTCTACATAACGCTAAATGTTTATTATATTTGTTCAATGTGTATTTTTTGCGAGCAATATGATGACATAACGATTTATTATTAATAAATATAAGCTTTTAATATAATTGGTTAATCTTTTATTGGATAATTATACATAATATATACACACACACACACACACACACACACACACACACACACACACATATATATGTACATACATACATATATAAAATTGATATTTATATCCTACATTTTAGCACTAAATGTATGACAAAAATGTACATTGCTGTGTATATTTTTGCGCTATATTTATCACAAAAGTCATTGGATCGTATGTGAATGATTTAATATCACATGTACACATGCGCCTATGTAATATAATGAAAGTGTGTGCGTGTGTGTGTGCGCGCGCGCGTGTGTGTACACACATGAAAAAATTGTTCCAATATATACTGTCAATACTGAAAATCTATAATACACGTTACATATGTCGGAAATATGTTGGAAGTATATATCGCAGTGTATATTGGAATCGAATCATGGAAAATTGGGAATCAGAAATATACATATATCTTTGTCCAATAAAAAGTTGACTTTAGGATTTAGTATTCAAGTGCGCTAATTAATTTTGCAATTTTTCATTTTCACATCATTTAATATCTTAAAGAAAAAGACTTACTGATATATTTATTAGTGATTGATGTGGAAATCTGATTTAAAGATCTGACAGTTAAAAGTATACACTTTTGTTGACTGTTAATTCATTTAGTTAATATCTTGTGTAAACCGACGAATTTTTAAATTTTATTTGAAGCTTAAAAGAGAGAGGTAAAGCAGAACTGTTGCAGATTCCCATATGTCTCGACATACCGTG